TAAGATCAGTTTTTGCTAAAGTTAATCGTTTCCGAATCAATTGGGTGGACTGTAGAAGTTGATACACCCTGTACTGTGTATTTCTAAACACTTAAAACAATTTTTGTTCCGAAACGATAGTGGGAAATCGTTTGTAGGGAATTTTTTAAAAATAACTTTTAACGCAATTAAGGATCTGGCTTATTTCAAAGCAAGTGAGTCAGAAAAGTCTGTTTAACCACATGCCCTCCGGCAGTATACTAATTAAAAGATGCATACTTTTCAGTCGTGCTATTCTGTCAGCTCGGTAAGGGTTTTTGTTTTAAAACCTTATCGTTTGTTTACTCTACTTGCATTTATTAATTTTAATGACATAAACCCCAATTAAACATACGGAGATATAGCAATCAGATAAATCCGTCCTTGGATTATCGAGATCTTATCGACCAATTTACAATGTGTAATTTACCCTGAGAGAGTTTAATATGCAATTATGCAATTGCGTTATAGCTTTAACGTATTTTTTATTTATTCACAAGGTTTTCTTTGGTTCCCTAACTTTTCTCCTGGTTTATCATATTGTGCATAAATTATATCAATGCCTGGACGGATTGACTTTTCCTTTTGTTTACAGTCCATTGATTTGGGTTAGTTTATCGAAAATCACAGCTCTTCGACAAATGGCCGCAATCGATCGGATCGACGTGGCCAATTTTGTGATTGAAATTTGCATCAGAATTTTGAAAATATTCGTCTTGCCACAAGAAAGAACTTGTTCTTTGTTCCAGTTATTCTTGTCTCAATATATTTACAACAAACAAGTTTAATGTAATTTAATGGTATGAGGAAAAACCCGAGAGATTTTAACAGTTTGAAGAAACACGATTGCTCTTTGACAATTTCATCTCAAAAAGATCCGACATTGGTTTTATCAATCCTGGTGTTCCACATGGGTTCATCTTAAGCCCTCTTCTATTTAACTTATACATTATTACATAATATGCAGATGAATGTTAATATATGTCTTTTCGTCTAGTTGATATGCTACTCTACGATAATAATTTTAAGTTGGGTTAAAGGTTTACACCACAAGAATAGCACACTTTATGCCCTGAAAATGACCCGAATAAAGGTCGAAACGTCGGCAAAAAAATGAAAAAGGTGTTTTTCTGAACTACCTCATTCTTAACCGCTCCTCACGACTTCAATAAATTATGAAACAACAGGTGACTAAGAAACACAAAATAATTTTAACTTTGGATTTAAGAGGGCATCAGTGCTCAGTGGTCTCTATGGTATAGGCGTCGACACAGCACTCATCACTTTAAGGTGCTTTCCTCAAAAACGACACCATGAGGGTTGATATCATCTCTGCTGTTTCAGACCTTCGGGGGGGGGATGAGCTGGCATGACAGATGATGGAGACAGAGAAGCAATGTCGGGAAATCTGGGATCTGATGTTTACACACCTATGCACACAATTTTTTAAATTTACAGTTACTTCAGGAGTTCCTCAGGGCTCTCACTTAGGGCTTCTTTTATTTCTTGTTTTTATAAATGACCAGACTCAAGACTAACCTGGAACCAGCACACATGACTTAAACAACAGGAACTAAACCAAATTTCGCACTACTTTACAGACTACTGTTGCACAAATCTAATGTTTCAACACAAAGCACACTGATAATCTACAAGACAATACTATCTGGATGTACGGACTACAAGTGTGGGGCACCGCCAAACCTCCCAACTTCTAAAGAATACAGTTCTTTGAATCCAAAGTCCTCAAAATCATACTTCTTACTACATCTCCAACACCCTTCATAAGATCTCAAAATCCCTTTCACACAAAAAATAATTTTTAAAACAATTTCAACTTCCACAGTAAACTCTGCTCTCACCCCAATCGAGCTGCCCAATCCTTATCCAATAAAAACCATCCCTATAATTCCACCAGTCCTTGTGTACAGCTGGAAGGACAGCAATGGCGGTTAACTCCCCTCACAACACATGATCCATGCCAAATTAACGCATTACATGTTGTAATTAATGTTACACATTGCAATAAACGTATTATATAAAAAGTAAATAAATGAGATTTACTCTGTGATTATGATATAAATTTTCTTCTCATTGCTGATGATCTAAAAATCTTTAAACCTGTTTCTTCTTTTTCTGACCATTTAATTCTTAATACTACAAAATATTGCCATATCCGCTTCTCAAAGTGCAATAATTCTAGCAATTAACACAACCAACGAACCCCCTCAATTCTGTTAATCGGCAACTTGTTTGACCAACAGCTAACATTCAAAAACCACATTTTAAGTTTAACTGTTAAAGCTTTAAAACATCTCGCACTTATAATTCATTTTTCTAAAGGTTTTCATAATATCCAGGTGTTAAAAATGTTCTTTAGTTAGATCCATCATTGAATTTTGTTTTGTAGTTTTGTCACCATATTTAAAACTTTCTCTTCAACATTGTTCAGCATAGATTTGTCAGATATTTACATTCAATTTAATTCCACAAATTTGCTGTAAATTAACCAAAAATTCTATACACATTGAATACAGACCACTTGAAACCCATAAAAACATAGTATATTTCTCATATATTATTAAATAATCAAATAAACTGTCCAGAACTCGTCAAATTAATTAACTTTGACATTCCATCTCATAATACCAGAAACCCTCAGAGTTCAGATATGAGCCAACTCCATTGACATAGGTTTTTTATTGACAAAAGTTCAGAAATAAAAAAACCTTTTAAATTCCACTTCAAAATTTTCCCTAACCATCCCTAAATTTCACTTCAAATTGTATCTAGTCATAGTTATATATTTTTATATCCACTTATGTGTGTTCTTATATATTTACTTATTACCTAGTTTAATTTTATTTTGTGTTTACGTTGTTTTTCTGTGTTATACTCCTACGCCTGTGTCTGTAATAACAAAATTAAAAAATAAAATTTTGAGATGTCACATAGCCTCAAATGTGGATTGCCTCTAGACCTCCCCACCCTTTAATCCCTTGAATTGAATGCCAGCTTTGGCTTGTTTCTCTTAAATGCTGGCCAGTGTTGTGACTAGGAGAAAAAAACCCACATTCATATATTAGCAATTTATAGTTTTATATGTACAGGCTACAAATAAATTTTTTAAAAACATTTAATTATTCAGAAATCGTGAGATGCGGTGTGATGTAGGTTTCAGAAAAACATTTTCTTTATCGTGCCAACGTTTCGATCTTTATTGAGATCATCTTCAGTGCTCAAAGTGTATGTTTTCTGTGTAATTGTGCCATTCTTGCGTGTCATGTTGAGAGTGCCAGTAAAAAAAAAATTTAATTTTACAGTAAAGGATTAAAGTAAAGTACTTCCTGTCATTTATGTCCAAGTAACCGAGGGATCAGACGATCAGTTATGCCAGGATTTGAACCAAGAACCACAGAAGAATTTAACGCCCCAATAACTTGGCCATCATTGGTGGTGAAAATCATAGAAATTGGATGGATAAATGCTAAATTTTTTAAAATAATTTTACACTTTTATATGGTGGCTTGTCTGTTATGGCTGTTTTTCACTTGTCATCAAAGTTTCTGCTGACAATCACAGTAGAAAATAATTAAGCTGTGGTTAAACATCATTTCAACATATTAATTTACAAAAATGAAATAGCAAAATTTACCATAAATTGGAATTTTCAAGGTTAATAAAAACATATCTCTCTTTTTTTCAATATATCTAGGTTTATTTTACATTCTTTTTATTCTAATCTAGGAATGCACTAAATACATACAGTCGATAATATTATACAAATACCTTTCTAATTAATCTACAAATAACTATATATTTCACCGCAAAAAATGCAACTCCAGTCTTATATAATGTTAATTCTAATTTCATACATACAAAACAAAAGGCAAGATACCCTCCTCTTTATATCGCTTTATAATAATTATTTTTTATATGTAAGGAATGATACAAAATCTGCCTTTTGGACATGCAGAATTATACAATTTGTACAAAAACCTAACATGTACGTTTATTTCATATAATTCAGTTATAAAAAGTGTAATGATAGTACAGAAATCTTATGTAGCATTTTGTACCAATTTTTCTTTTAAATATAAGCCAAAAATATACGTTTTAATCAGAAGGCTTATCTTTAAGAGGGCACTTTATATTAGTTTAATACATACTTTTAGTTAAAAAAAAAGAAATGAAAAAAGTATATGTGTAAAGCTACAAATTTACTCAAAAACAAAAAGAGGGCCAATTTTTTTTTACTTTTAAATAAATTAGCATAAAATTGATTCTCTCAAAAATGGACAGCTTACAATTCTTTCTCTTTACCTTTGCAATGAAAAAATGTACATCATACATGTATATCTATAGTCTACAATATTAAAAGGGGAAAAATGCTTTAATAAATTATATTTTCATTCTTAAACATAATTTTTTTCTTTTTTAGAAAAACAATAAAGAAAATTTCATTAGGGGGAAGGAGATTAAAATAAAATCAATACAGTTAATAAAATACTCAAAAAGAATAACAAAATGTACAATAAATCTCTCTACATTTGCCTTTTTTTAATTAAATATTTTAAAATAAAATTAAGTTTGACTATGTACAAAAAAATTCAAATAAATTTACTTTGTTAATCTGAACAAAAATTTATAAATCTTTACAAGAATATATTATATTGATTATAATTCAACAATTAATCTTACAATACATCTCTTCTGTATTTTAAAAACTGCAGTCTACAAGAAAAATAAAACAAGACATTTTCGATGCCTTTTATATGAAAAGAAAATGAAAAACTTCATTTGAAACTTATTATCAAAAGCTTTGTCGTTTCTAATAAAATTTTTAACGTTTATCCCGCATAATATTGTACACATTTTTCAGATTGTTATTAATTAATATATAAAAATTTATTTTCCTATTGCCCTTGAAACATTAAGGAAAAAAAGATTGTGGAACATTCGATAATTTTATGCCAGATTAATTTTTTTTTCTCTCTCTCTCTCGCTTAAACTTCTATGGAAATTAAAAAGAGGTAGACTATGAATATGTTATGGCCTTCTGATCGGCCACCTCGATGGTTAATTTGTGTTAAAAATTGTTTTGCATCTGATTAATCATCTGTCAGACCTTGGCGCTTTTCTTCTTCGAGCATCGCGTCTAACTCGTCCGTTAGATTGGCGAGCATGTTGCCGATATCGTTTAGGACGTCGACTGGCTCCTGCCCTGGTTTTCTATATTAAAAAAAGCAAATTCGTTACTCTTTAGGATGTAAATTCTGTATCAGCATGAAGGTTATATCGCAAGTAGTTCAATGATGATTATATTTAAAAAAAGTGCTATTAGAAGTTATGATTCTTTATTAGAGTTGAATATTTATTAAGTTTATAGCAGATGAGGATTATCAATTTAAAGTGTAAAGTTAGATCTGTGTAATTCTTTTTAGAGCATTAAATATTAGTTTATGGGCATACACTTTTATACAAAAGCTTTTTCTTATTTATTTTAGCCATTTTGATAAGTTCATTGATAATGTTTTGTTACAAATGATATGCTTTTTTTTTTAAAAAAAAAAGAAACTTTACAATAAATTATGGTTATTTGTAAGGATAAACTTTGATACTTTGTTTTTGTGTTTTTACGTACTTTCTTGAAATACAATGTTTTTTATGGTGTGCCTTATTCGATGACCTTGTCGGTCGATTATTTGGTCTGATAAAGGAAAAACAAGTAAAAACAAACACTTAAAGAAAACTGATAATTGTGGTGCAACTAGAAAATTAAATTATCAATTACCTCGGCGGAAGGAGAGAAGACGAAGGCTCTGGCGGCTGCACTCTCACAGTGGGAATAAATTCTAGAATAAGAGATTTTTGTTGAAAAATGAAAGGGTCAGACGAATTTGAAGGTGTTTTAAAATTGAGTTACCTGTTGGATTTCTTGTCGCTCTTTGTTTTATAGTGCCGGCATTTTCATTCGCGAAAGGTATCGAATCGGACTCAGTACTTGAACTTGACTGTAAAATTAGTCAATTTGGTTTACAAAATGTTAATTTGGGGGTTTTCAATTTTTTAAATGGTGAAAAATTTACCTTAAAACTAGCATCAGAGCCGTTGTATTGTTGCGGATGGGGGCAATGCAGATCTGCAACTACAGTTACACTCGAAGAACAATCACTGCTCACCCTAGCAGGAGGGACCGGCCCAGTCCTTTTCAATGTGCAGTTACTGCCTTCCCTAATTAAAAAAAATGTTTTACAAAAATAATATCGAAATAAAATTTGTATATAAAAAAAGAAAACATACTGAGAGAAACAATGTAGTGTAGGGGCGATTTTAGCCTGTGGCCTGGGCTTGAGTAAGGCCCGCGGCCTTGGCAGTGTCCCACCGCCTTGGTGTAAAGGAAAGACCTCGTTTGTAGGCGTGATGTCCCCGTCTTCGAAACACCTCCGTCCGCCGACGTTCCACTGCCCTGTGAAGCTACTCGTACCGACGCCGATACCATTATTACCCTCTTCCCCACCTTCAAGAGATTCTAGAGATTTCCCCCGACCTCCGCGAATCTGTAAACACAATTGGAAACTTTCGGTTTAAAAAATTTACAAACTCCTGAGAAATTTTAATTGAACGAATATTTTTTTCTTGCTGAAACTAATAAAACACTTGTCAAACACTATTTAAAATTTATATATTTTAAATAGTTTTCTGTTTCATTTTATGAAGCATTTAAATTTACAAAAGCATTGGGTGAATGCACTAGTAGTTGCAATTTCCTAGCCTTTATACAAAAATTATATTAAACAATATTACTTAAATTTCTACATTTGAAAAAAAAAAAAAATATATACCGAGACTTTTAATCCTTATGGCTATTTATAAAAAAAAATAAATGAAATAAAATAACCTATAAAATTCACATGACATTTTTTCAAAAGCATTGCATTACAAAAAGTGTTATGAAAGAAGCACTTACTTGAATCGGAACGATATCTGTCGTGTAATAGAGATGGTGCGACCCTTCGATCTCCCAGGGTTGGTGGAACGTCTTGAATGTGCTGTGGACTCTTGGGCAATCGCAGTCGACGAATGGGTCTCCTGCGTCAACCTTCACACAAACATGCGCATGCACTAACACTTCGGATACTCACAGCTTCAGATTGTCACTTGACCTGTTGAGCTTTTTGACTCAATAAATCAAGTTGTTATATATAATTTTTGTTAATTTTATTCACTAATTTAATTTAATTTGTACCAGTTTGTGAATAAAAGTAACGTGTTAGAATCGCAAATCAATCTGAAGCTGCATGTAAGTACAAAAAATGTCAATAAACTAAAAAAAAACAATGTGATCGATTTGGACTAATGAGCGCAAATGTTTATTAGTGCTCTTTAATGCCGTGAAGATGCTTAACATGTACAAGCATTTATCCATGATTTGATTTCCTCTCGTTTTCAGTCTCGTGCATGGACCAAAGCTTTTAAAAGCTCAATTATTAAACTAGGTAATTAAATCAATCTGTACAAATAAAAGTACAAGATGCAGTTTGGAAATTTATGATGGTCTGAACATATTCTATGATGTGAAGTTTTTAGTGAAAAAAGAACAACAAAAATTAATGATATTAGAAAAAATATTGTGACAAAAAACTACAAGGTGGTTGATTACTCACAAAGGTGATTTTATTTCTCCAAATGAACAAAAATAGAGGAAAATATTTAATTCTTTATTTTATACCATCGTTACAAGGGTTTATCGTCAAACTCTATTTTGAGGTCAAGATGGGGGAAAGCAGTTATCAAATCGGCTATATGAAGGCTTTGTAATTTTATACTGATTACTTACATGTGTCGGCGTAAATGGAGTAGGTGGGAATGTTTTTCCAGCCCTCAGGTCCTGGATCCTCTTGATCGCGAGCAACATTCTCTTCTGATGGCCCAGCTTGACAATACCGATATCTTCAAGATCTTCCCATGTTATCTGCGTGGTGTCCTCGACTGTCGTGTAACCCTGAGATCTTAAAGCGCTACCGTACTCTTCCAGCCTCAGCAGCCTCAACCATTCATTCAACGAACCCTAGAGAAACAAGAACAAGTTAGAAGGTAAACCAGAGAATAAAAGGATGGTTTAATAGAATCTAAACTTTTTTCATTAAACTTTCAATGATTAAATCACCATTTTCAACTTTACCACATTAAATTCAATATTTAGAACTAGCTAAGAAGATGTTCTATTCTAAAACATAGAAAGGAGGAAGAACAAAACTGCTTTTAATAGTGATTTTTTCCCCATTATATCATTATTTTATCCCAGGAGGGCTTAAAGTCTTAATACCTGTTGAATGTCGCGCATGAGGGGTCAAACCACTTTATAATATTTATTTAGAAATCGTGAGATGCGGTCTGGTGTGATGTAGGATTCAGAAAAACATTTTTATTGTGCCAACATTTCGATCTTTATTGAGATCATCTTCTATATCATCACATTACATTCCACACATCAAATATTTTTCACATAGTCTAATTTCCCAATAATTTAGCTTTCCTTTTCCTATTTATCCCTTTCTATATAATCCTGAAAGGATAATCTGGTCCATTACCAACACATTTTTTCCCTTCGTCGGCTCTTTTCACCTCAAAGAAGCCGACGCCTTATACAAAAATGTCTTTTCTATTTCAAAATCCAACGTATATAAACACAAAATAGCAAAATCTCACTGGCACTCTCGACACACGCAAGAATGGCACAATTACACAGAAGACAAACACTTTGAGTGAATATATATAAAAAATATATTTTACATTGTATAAATTCACTTTTCCACATCCAAAATGTAATTGTTATGTGTAAACAATGTTTGTAAATCCCAGGCCTTGAAGATGATCTCAATAAAGATCGAAACGTTGGCACGATAAAGAAAATGTTTTTCTGAATCCTACATCACACCAGACCGCATCTCACGATTTCTAAATAAATATCGATTAACGGTACTAATCACCACCCACTTTACAATACTTCTTCAATTTTATTGTCAATTAAAAAGCCTTATGCTATGCCGGGAATTGAACCCAGAACTGCTAGGATGGCAAATACAAGTCAAATCCTTAACCACTCGGTCACTGTAGTCCCCCAATGGACAATTTATTCAACCTTAAAAAATTAATTTTCTATCCAAGTGTACTTACAGGTATGTAATCAGGTAACCCGTCTGATATATTCAAAAGGGCTATCTCAGCTTTCAGCTTCTTCCTGTGGTTCGGTTTTTTTATTCCTATTGCAGTTAAGTCCTGGAAAAAGAGAAGCCAATGTCAATACTGAAATTAAAAAAAATAAAAATAAATAAAAAATAAAATTTTACCTCGGGCGTCATTCTTGAGATGGTGTACATATCATATCCTGCATTTACGAACAGAGGAAAATACTCCTCGAAATGGAGGTCAATCAGCCAGCTGTTGAGAATCTCAGGGTCCTAAATATGATTTCAATTAGAAGCCGGTTGATGCGAAATTAAATTAAAAATTGATTAGTAGACTCACAGCTACGCCCTGCAATAGAAGTCGTTCAACCCTAGCTGGAGCGGAACTTTCTCCGCTTCCCACAGAACTTGACGAGAGGCTCGGTCGGTGGTGATGGGACATAGCACATGAAGCTCTTCCGCTGTCTAAGCTCACAGTGGAATGGCGGGACCCAGAGCCGCTTGAACCTGGGCTATCTCTTCCAGGGCTCTAAACATACGAAAAATTAATAAATTTTACACACTAATTACAGATATATTTAAAAAAATTTCTTACCTGGGTCATGTCAATCCCTTGGTCCTCCTGGAGTGAAAGTTGGTGGTGGTAGTAAGACGCTTTACTCCCGATTTGTGTGAATTGCTAATTAAATATATTGTCAGATCAATAGATCAATAAAAAAAGACATAAAAAATATGTAATTTACCTGAGGGCCGGGAAATGTGAAGGCAGGGTAAGAAAATGTACCGGGGCTTTTCCCAGGTCCCATGCTGTACATACCGTCTGATATCTCATACCCATCTACACATACAGAAAGTTCATATAGATTAGACAGGACTGGCAAGAGTCCAGGAGCAATAAAAAGAACCTCTGCAGTATTGAGAAAAGGATGGAAGGAGGAGGGGCGAGAGGGAAAGTGGAATATAAAACTGTCTGGCTTCCTATACAATTAAATCCACTCTTATTCTATTTTAGACAAATATTTGCAATTGTACACTTAAAAAAAATATTATTGCAGAATTTAAGTAGTGCATTAAACAAGTCAAATGATTCGTATTATTTTGGAGTTTTACCTCTGTTGTCATGGAAAATGTCCTCTCCAGCACTGGAATATCCTGCTGAGCCAAAGGATGAGCCGCTGTTCCTGAAAGCCGTTTCTGGGACAGCAGGAGGTGCCACCTTTTTCGCCTGAGCCGGCTTGTTGCCCCTGCTCATTCCTCCAACTGGAACATACAAAATTTTTAATTATTACACAGGCTAAATAAAAAAAATTAAAATTACATGTAAAAATATAAGAGATCTATTTTTAGATCCTTAATTCCAAGCCATTCGACACCCTAATATTTCAGAAGGGCTCCCCTATGAACGAGATACCAAATATATTATATGTCTGAAAATAGTTTAAACAGTACAAATAAATCAAACCTAGTTTTCTGTCTATTTATTGGATGAGTCGAAAACCTTGAAGGAATTTAAATATTGATTAAAGGAGAAAATGAATAAATTAAATTTGTATGAAATTAATTGTAGAGATGCCAGAAAAACTGAAATCCATACTATATCCAAATTATGGATATTTCATCATATTTAAATTGAAAACAATTAAATTTAAATACAATATACAATTATTTTTAATTCAAGTTCTCACAACAGAAAACAAGAATTGGTTTTTGTTAATACCAAAGATGCAGTCTATTTTAAATTGAATGACTTGCGCAGATAGCTACACGGTGATATTAAAGAGCCAAGAAAATATAAAGAAGGTTGTTTTGCACAAAAAGGAAAACTATAAAAGCTTAACACACAAAGGCGGAAAAAAAGGCGTAAACTCATGCATAATTCATTAAAAACATGTAACTCTGTTCTTTCAACAGCCACTGTTCTTTCTTCGGTAGTATTTCAGCTTGGCAGATTTTTCTTTTTGAAAATAATGAAAATAAAATAAGTGAAATGAAATTGTTTTTTTAATTATAGAACATGATTAGCTGATACAGTTAGTTTTTACTTTGGTATGTGGTTGTGATAAGCCGACATTGGAGAAGAAAACTGATATCGGTGGTGTTTTATATACCCGTAACAATTCAGAAACAAGTTATGAACAAGAATAACAAACATGTGACAAAACTTTATACAACTAACAGTATAATTTTTATAAATATTTTATAATAAAAAAATAAATATAATGGCAGGGTTATATTCCACCTACATAATTTTCCCATATTATTATTACATAATTACAAATTAAATAACACACTAATAAACAAGTAACTCGATTAATTATCCAGGCTACACTAAACTTTAAGTCATGAATTAATAACCAGCATAGTTGCTGAGATGGAAGCAATATTATCAACTTACATTTATATAATAATTTGTTGTATTCGTGAGGAATGGTCAAAAATGAGGTAGTTTAGAAAAACACCTTTTTCATTTTTTTGCTTATGATTTGGTATTTTTTTTACACTACCTCATTCTTGACTGTGCCTCACGGATACAACAAATTATTAAACAGCCGGTCGCTAAAAAAACTTACATTTATACAATTTAATTAATTTTTTATGTATATAATTAAATTAATCTATCGGTTGTTATCCTGATATCCACCCTGTGGTCAGTGAGGTGATGATATTTTCAGTTCATACTTCGCATTTATATTGCTTATTGCTACAATTTATTGTATTGTTATTATTGTATTCAGCATTTAAATGATAATAAATAATACATTTAATGATTTGGAAAGATTTGCAGGAAAGTGTTGTACAAGTACCAATGTGTCTTGACCCTCAAAGATACTCCATCTTGTTTATTTGGATCAAATTCCACTTCCTGCAGTGTATCATGTTAAATTCTTAAATTGAACTGCTGGTACAACTAAAAATCTGCAGACATAAATTCAAGACTCCCTTTGCAAAACAATAAAAATACTTTATACAGCGCTTCTAGCTATGGACTGAAAATGTATGAGACAGCTAAAAAATCAAAACTTAACCGGATACAATTCCAATAGTCAAAAATCACATCCCCTGGGAGGTTGATGTGTGGTGGACTCATGACCACAACGGTGAACAATGGTCATCAATTAAGGTAAAATCATGCAGTCAAAGAATCATGGAAATGACCAAGCAACAACCAGGTTCCCAAAGAAAGATACAAAGATAAAAAGGGGGAAGGGGGAAGGGGGAAGAGAAAAGAGAAAAGAGAAAAGAGAAAAGAGAGAGAGAGAGAGAGAGAGAGAGAGAGAGAGAAAGAGAAAGAGAGAGAGAGAGAGAGAGAGAGAGAGAGAGAGAGAGAGAGAGAGGAGAAAGAAAGTTGCCACATTATTATAAAATATTATAAAAAACTACATTTTAAAATGTTTAATTCTTTACATACGTATAATTAAATGTATGTTTCTGTTAATGGTTAGCTTAGGTAGACATAGCTCTTCAAATTATAACCGACAATTGACACCAAGAGCAGAAGAAGTGAACAAACCCGGTAAAAATATGTTCCAAAAGATTTTATATGTTGAAATCTAAAGTTGCAATTTACAAAATCGCCCACTTGCCACAAATTCAATTGGTTTTGAACGTTATTTCCCAGGGACGGGGGACCGGGAAAGGCCTCATGTTGTCCTCCAACGTTCTAATATGGCGAGATTCAAATTGGTTTTGCCATTTCAAAACTACCCGTCTTTGAACGCTTATTGGCAACAACCGATACAACAACATTTCACCTGGGCGTGAAACTTTTCTATAAAAGCGAAAAACCGACGTGCAATGTATAATCTTGTTACCGATATCGCGATGGATGACCAAAACAAGAAGAACCGAGGTCGTGCCCTTTCTTTCAAAGAAAACGAACTTAAGTAGAAATTCTATGAGAATTTCGGGACCCTGTGTATACATGGCTTATTTAAAATAATTTAATAAGCATAGTTTGATTTAGATTATTGTAAAGTATTGGATTAAAAAAAAAAATCAATTAGAATAGGGAAAAGTGAGCGAGGTGAACTCACGAAACCAGCTCCTCATGAGTTATGCAAGGGGTTTCAAATGAAGAAATAAAGACCATATGGTCGATAGACAAAAGTGCTTAGAAAAAGGTCGGAATCTTTTCTCAGAAGAAAAAAATTGAATATATGGACGCGTTAACATCGCGAACCTATAAAACAAGACAGGGCCTCGGTAGGGACACCTACGTACTTCTCAAGATCAGGCGCACCTGCTAGCAAAAAGTGTGAAAACCACCCGAAAAAATTCTCAACGGTGAAAACTAACGCGTTTTCCACTTTTAAATCGGCGATGACGAGAAAAGTGTGCCGTTTTAAAAATTGTATACACACGGGGAAAACGGAAATTAAAACGACCCGGTGTGTCTGGGCGCCATGTATCTGTTTATTAAATTTCAACAAGGACGTCTGATTGTGAGTGTTTTTTTAACAGGTGAGCCCACAGGTTCTGTCTCCTTGTGTTTTAAATTAGCGGATATCGGTCTTTAAGATGATATATACGTTAATTTCCCCTATTTCGACCCAGTTGATCTTCTTTCTCAGATAAAACTGGAAGAGGACTTTCGCCGAAGCGCTTAAAGACGACACAACTTGATGCCTTTGGTTTTAAAAACTATGTCAAGGATTGTTTTCTTTTCAATCCTTTAACGATTTTTGGCAAATTAGGTGTGAACGTGTGAGCTATAAACTATTTTATCCGCTAAGATGATAAAATGTACGTTTTGCTTTGTGTTTTATTTCAAAGCAAGGAATTTGCTGTGCAGGCTAAAGGACGAAGACCACATATTGTGCACACGTGTTCATTAATTCTTTTTGCCGAGCTTCCCTTTCTGCAGCATTTTTTCGCGTGAAGAAAGTCAGGCTGAATGACAGGCCTTAGAAGCTAATGAATTACAGTCCTCCTTTCAATTTTTCAGCAAGTTGAACCGCCGTTGGTTTCATAAACGTAACTAAATGATTGAACTAAAATGATTTCGTCTTTTACTGACGAGACAAAAATAAAACTGTTTTCCTTATTGTTTCCGATGATTTTGGTATGTCAGAGTCGGATTTTTGTCATTTCTGGTCAACTAACACATCAAAACCAACATATCAAAACAAAGAGGATAGGCAGATACCAAAATGATCGGATACTAACCAATTATAGGTTCCAACCGAAAAATTTGAAGGGAAATAAATATTTGAGAGTAGAGATAGAGAGATGGAGAGGGAGAGGGAGAGGGAGAGAGGGAGAGATGAGAGTGTGTGAGAGAGAGAGAAGAAAGACAAGAAAAAGGGAGAACGAGAAGTTAAATAGATATAGATACGAGAGATGAGATAGATAGATAGAAAGATAGTTAGAGAGAGAGAGAAAGAGAGAGAGAGAGTGAGAGAGAGAAAGAGAGAGAGAGTGAGAGAGAGAGAGAGAGTGAGGGAGNGTAGGTAGATAAACATACAGAAGTGTGTATGTGCGTGCGTGTGCGTGTGTGTGTGTATGTGAGTGAGAGAGAGAGGGGGGGAATGTTAAAGCCATTTTTAATAAGCATATTGAAATTTATGTGCTTTTATATTATTTCGGCATCATGAAGTGAAGTGGATCGGTTGCGATAGAATCTAAGGGGGTATTGAGAAAAACAATACATCCAAGCTGCAATAAGTCATGTTGATGAGGGTCGTATTATCGTAAGCTCTCTTCATCCGGATTTCTATCCCGGAACAAGACAAAAAGAGAACGAACGCCTTTAGAAGGAGTAAAGGAGTTAAAAAAATTCTCCTCGTTTGACAAGGGAGTCAACAACTCCCTGATAATCACAGTCGTACGCCCCTCTTCGCCGGTAGAAAATTACCATGATTACTACACTTATGGACAAAAAGAAAATAAAAAGGAAGAAGAAAGAAGAATTCTCGGGCAAATGCCCCCTCCTTTGGTTTACCGCCCGGTTTAAATACCTTTTAAACACCCTTATTAATATATATTTTCCTTATCGTCCAAGATCCAAGAGATAGGTTCCCTTAATGGTTTCGAAAATACCGGCCGGAGGGCGCGTTCTAAGTTTCCTCCGTGGAGGGAAAACTTAGGAATTAATTTTTGAACTTTATCGTTTAAATAATAAAAAAGTATGTCGGCTCTGATGAAATCCAACGCTAAATAAACGAGGCAATAAAGAGTCGACCCGCTTATAATCCCGTTTTACTTAGTGATAATCCCGTTGTTCCTTCATTAACCACTTTTAAAGCAAAGAAAAATGTAAG